TGGCCCCAGCTAATAAAGAAAATCGGCCAGGTGAGGTGACACACACACTCTGGGAAGCTGAGGCAGGTGGGTACCGAGTTGGAGTGGAGCCTGTGCAACTTAGGAAGACCCTTCTCAAAATTAAAAAAAAAAGTAAATCTAGGAAAAACAGTACACATACACCTGCTGCAGCAACTTCTCTTCTATGAGCCTCTCCCAGACACGGGGCCAACAGGACAGGGCATGGGCAAGTTGTTCACCACGTGCTCACGCGCGCATGTGCAGAAGCAGCCCTGGTCCTCTTTTAGAAACTGTTTGCACACACCGTGCTCTGCCCTTCCTCACTCTGGAGACGCACGAGGCTGGAAAAGGGTGAGAGGCACACCCCCACCCCACCCCACGGAGCCCCGCCAAGATGCACCACTACTCGGGACAGACGCAAGGTGCAGCAAGCCGCCTGTTGTCCCTCAGGTCTTCCGGAGGCGGGTGGAGGAGCACACGCATGTGCATTACTTCTATCACAGACACAAGCGAGGGGAGCCTGAAGGCACCTTCGGCTTTGCTTGCTGACAGTTACTTGCTGTCACCTGACATCTGTACTGAGTCCCCCGCTAGCTCCAGCTCTGCTGGTGATGGCACCTCTGACGTATGGGTGTTGTACTTTTTAGGGACTCCAAGGCCAGTTTTGTCACAACTACCATTTGTTTTGCTACTTCCTTTTTAAATTTTTTCTTAAATTTTGAAATAGGGTCTCACCAAATTGCCTAGGCTGGCCTTGAAGCCGTGATGTTCCCGTCCTAAGTGCGTCACCATGCCTGGTAGCACCAGCTCGTAGGCTGGGCCTGTCCATGAGTCTGATGCACGATCTTTTGACCTCAGGAGGCCCCAAACTGCCCTCAGGTCATGCAGACGCTGTCACTGTCTGAACGTGCACCCCAGGAAGTGCCGTGAAGACTGACTGACTGATCTCCTCCCACGTTTCCTCACTTCCTTACCTCCTAAATACCTGCAAGGAGGTGCGTTTGAGACTTGGGCGCCCGTCTCCTCCTATTTGGCTGCCCTGTGAATGAGTTCTCTGTTTTGCTAAATTTGCTGTTTCAGTGAGGGGCATATTGCGTAGTGGGCAAAACAGGCCTGGTTCAATCACATGTACACTCAGCGACAAACACGGTGAAGAGCAGGGCAGCGAGCGCGGGAGAAACCAGACTCCTCTGAGTAGACCCTGCTGTGTGCATCTGACGTTGGAATCAGGTAAATGTTGTACGCTTACGTATAAAAGCAAATTTAAAGAAGTGTGAATTTAAAAAGCAAAATGAAACAAAATGAGCCTCAATGTTTTGGCGTAATCCCACTGACAGGGACTATTTCAACTGACTTTAAAATAGTAATTTGTGCATTCCAGTAGGATAAAAGGCACTCCCAGGACAAAAAAGAACTGCTGCAAAATAAAAGAGATTTTTGTAATCATACTGTTAATAATATTCATATTATTCTTCTGAAACTATAATACATAATACAGGATAAAGCAAATAATTATGATGTTACTATTGCTAGCATGAAGATTTTTCACAATAAGAGCTAATATATAAAAGCAAATAGGTAAAACTGTGCAGTCTTAATTTTTTTTTTTTTTTTTTGTCTTTTTGAGACAAGGTTTCACTATGTAGTTCAGGCTTGCCTGGAACTCACTATGTAGCCCAGGCTGGTCTTGAACTCATGCAAGCCTCCTGCCTCAGCCTCCCAAGTGCTAGGATCACAGGTGTACATCATCATGCCTGGCCACAGTCTTAAATTTTGAATGAAAGGTATCAGTATTTGATTTTCTTTTAAAAATATGTATGGCTGGGTGTGGTGGCACATGCATGCCTGCAATCCCAGCAC